AATATATGTTAAAATAAATATTAATTTTTGTAATTTTTGATATAACTTAATTATAAAATGATATATTTATTGATCTGTCACTTAACTATATAGATTAGACAAATTATTTTTTTTAAAAGCCAAATAATACAAAAAAATACCAATATCAATGTAATTTTTTTTTTGCCTATCCAATTGTCCGTACAAACATTCAATGTAATGTATCAATATTTATATACAAATTAAAAAAATCCAAAATTTCTACTACCTAATTAGAAATTTAGCGAGCATATAATAATTTATTAGAATATCCATAATAATGCAAGATAGTCCAAAGCTTATATAGAGATTATAGAAATTATAAAATTTAAACTTAAAAATATGCGTCATAAAAAGTCCTAGATTTACAAGAAAGATGACATTGCAATAAAATCACTAGTCCACTTAGTCCCCAATGTCAAATAATTAAGAAATCACCAAACTCTGATCATTGAGATATGAGATTGCAACAAGATCAAGATTCATAAAGATATCTAAACCAAAAAAAGAAAAAAGAAAAAAGAAAAAATATAGTTAAATTTCTTCTCCACCAGATAAATTAAATAATTAACAATAAAAATAAAAAAAATTTGAAAACAAATAATTACAAGATTTAGACTTTCTCTGACAGAGATCTGATTTGAGATGACAGGAGAGGCGATGAGGGAAATGAGAAATGCTGAAAGGTATGAAAAAATGAAGGATTGTCAGAGGAGATAGTGGCTCCAATTAGAGGAAATGTGAGGAGCAGAGGAGGAATGGAGAATATAAGATGATATTAAATAATTATAAAATTATTATTGTTTGTCCTAATATTCTTTGAGGTTATAATTTTTTAAAATTTAAATTCTTTTCGTATTTTTTAACTTTCATGTTCATATGGCTTTTAACTTTTAAGTTTTAACTTCATTTTTTTTTTAAGTCTTTAATATTATCTGATACTTAGATTTCAATCTCACTGAGTACTTATCATGTCAACTCAACCCTTTCTTTTTTTTTCATTCGAGTTCAACAAGTGTTTTCTTTGTCATTAACTTTTTTTCTTTAAAGCCATCAAGGTAAGTTATTTCTTTATTTATGCTTTTTAGTTTTTTTTTTTTTCATTCCAAGTAAAAATTCTACTTGATTTTCTCCTTTGTTTACTTAGATGCATTCAATTGATT